TTCCGTTTTGGAACACACCTTGGGAGAACTGCAGAGAGCCCAACACTACAAGAACTTTTTTTAGTGTTTATTTTTCCATACTTTCTTTCTCCCGGGAGGGGGGCACTTAAAATGTTTTAGGGGGAGGGGGCTATGTCGTAAAGTACAAAGTAGATTCGTAGACTTAGCAACAATTTCAATAAAATGTTATTACGCGTGAAAACTGAAGTAGAAGGAGTTAGTACACACTTATGAGACGAAGGAGGCAAGTAAAATTAGATTTTGATGTCTACTTATAACGTGTATGCAATTGATAATATATTAATATGTTACTTTTAATTAATTGTTTTCTTATAAATGTGTTTTAGTAATCAATTTGTGTGAAAGGGGACGTTTTAATAAGTTTTGCCTAGGGCGCTAAATAACCTGGCGCCGGCACCGGAAATGTCAAACCTATCTCGCGCCCTGACGCAATAATTGCCGGACATTACTGCAGGATGGATACCTGAAATATTATCCGCTTTCTGGATCGGAAACAATATCCGTTTTATGTGAGCTAGCTTGTGTTTATTGTCCACACTCGTGCACAGCGAGTTATCCAATCAAAATCACGCATACTAAGCAAGTTATCCAATCAAAACTCTTATATATTACTCCCTATTCTGAGACAGATATTGTCTCACCCCACGTTCCCACTGACACATGACTCTCATACCTCACTCTCAAACACATGACTCTCATACCTCACTCTCAAACACATGACTCTCATACCTCACTCTCAAACACATGACTCTCCCACCTCACTCTCAAACACATGACTCTCATACCTCACTCTCAAACACATGACTCTCCCACCTCACTCTCAAACACATGACTCTCATACCTCACTCTCAAACACATGACTATCCCACCTCACTCTCAAACACATGACTCTCATACCTCACTCTCAAACACATGACTCTCCCACCTCACTCTCAAACACATGACTCTCATACCTCACTCTCAAACACATGACTCTCCCACCTCACTCTCAAACACATGACTCTCATACCTCACTCTCAAACACATGACTCTCCCACCTCACTCTCAAACACATGACTCTCCCACCTCACTCTCAAACACAAGACTCTCACACCTCACTCTCAAACACAAGACTCTCACACCTCACTCTCAAACACAAGACTCTCACACCTCACTCTCCCACACATGACTCTCTCACACCTCACTCTCCCACACAGGACTCTCTCACACCTCACTCCCCCACACATGACTCTCTCACACCTCACTCCCCCACACAGGACTCGCACACCTCACTCCTCCACACAGGACTCTCTCACACCTCACTCCCCCACACAGGACTCTCTCACACCTCACTCCCCCACAACCGCCTTTGCTTTCCCTAACATGTGTCAGGTACCCATCAGAGCTGGGTGAACTCAGTGACGTTCTACCGACTTGGACCCGGATTCAAACGTGACACCTTCGTGTTAACAGCCTAGTGCTCTAACGCTTAGGCCACAACGTAGCTACCACAGGAATAGAATTAATCTACTTTATCTTCTCCATTTATAACACATTCGAACAGGAGTCGATTTTTTGTATTTATTTTTAATGCTCACTAGGCCGAAGAATCTCACAAAATTTTAACAAGTTTTCGTCTAATTGGCACCTCGGGTAAAATATGAGGCATCACTTCTCGTATAAAAATGTAGGCTATAACTTACAGATTCTCGGGGTAAATATGGGCTTCACTTCTCGTATAAAAATGTAGGCTATAACTTACAGATTCTCGGCATAAATAATGTGCAGACAAATCTCAAAGTAATGAAACTGTTAGAACTTCTAACAAAATATTTCGGGGTAAATGCTAAAAAAGGGTAGGTGGAGTAGTGTTTATTGAGGTTAAGAGGTAGGTTGGACATGTTTTTTTCCTCTGGGATAAGCTATGGCTTACGGTGATCTATTATCTGATTTATTCTTTGGGGTATTTTTATCCCAAAAAGGTAGGTCATTTCTATTTTGGAAGGAGTTATAAATAAGGTTGTTAACTTCAATTTGTTAGTGTCGATCAATGTAAATATAGTCCTCCCATGTCTCTGTTCTGTTGTGTTGTTTCCCTTCGATACTGTTGTGTTGTTTCCTTCGATACTTTTTTGCTGTTGCTAGCTCCCCTTCGATACTGCTGTATTGTTTACTCTTCGATACTGTTATATTGTTCCCTTCGATACTGTTGCTCTGTTTCTAGCACCCCTTCGATACTGTTGTATTGATTCCTCTTCGATACTGCTGTATTGTTTCCTCTTCAATACTGTTTTGCTGTTTCTAGCACCCCTTCGATACTGTTGTACAGTTTCCCCTTTGAAACGTCTAAATTATTTCCCCTTTGCAACTGTTGTGTTATTTCCCATTCGATAATGTAATTGTAATGTTTTTTTCTGTTTCTAGCACCACTTCGATACTGTTGTATAGTTTCCCTTCGAAACGTCTAAATTATTTCCCCTTTGCAACTGTTGTGTTATTTCCCATTCGATAATGTAATTGTAATGTTTTTTTCTGTTTCTAGCACCACTTCGATACTGTTGTACAGTTTCCCCTTCGAAACGTCTAAATTATTTCCCCTTTGCAACTGTTGTGTTATTTCCCATTCGATAATGTAATTGTAATGTTTTTTTTCTGTTTCTAGCACCACTTCGATACTGTTGTATAGTTTCCCCTTCGAAACGTCTAAATGATTTCCCCTTGATACTGTTGAATTCTTTCCCCTTTGATACTGTTGTGCTGCCTCTAGCACGTAGCAAGCGACAACACAACTGAGACATGACAACACGGTGTGAGCCTAGTGTTGAATCACCTGTGTTCTTCACGTAATGCATTAAAATCTACCCAGTTCTCATTTTTTTCATATCTGTGACGTATGTCGGCGATAAGCAGAAACCTGTGGTGTGTAGAGGGGTGGGGGAGAAGGGGGGGGGGGGGAACCACGGATTTAAGTTTTGGGTAGAGGTTGGGTGAGTTTGTATTTCACCTAAAATTAGATTATAAAAAATTAGGTTAGCAGCGTGTCATTGGGGCACAATGAAGCTTTTTTTTTCTTTTCGTGCTGTTGATGTGTTATGCTGCTATTTTTAGCAGACAGCTTTCAGTGCGTTTGTACTGACGATTTTTTAAAAACTGATTTAATTATCTATAGTGACATAGTCTAATGAGGATTTCTACCAGGCATATTTCTATGAAAGTGTACGGATCCCCCACCCACACCCCCAACGAAATAGAATTTATATAGAAAATATATAGTTTTACCGATGTCCGCCCCATTCCCCCGGAAATTTCAAGTGGCACCCCCCCCCCCACCCTCCACTCTGGAGAAACAAGTCTGAAAGAAACACTGGTCTAATGCCATCCGAAATACGCGGAATACAGAATACAGCCTAAAACAGCCTGTATAAACTAAAAAACTACTACAGATATATTAGTTTAAAAAAAACAAGAGTTTAAAATTTCTAAGTCCAAGGGTGAAAAGTTAGACGTTTTGTTAACGAAACAAACTAAAATTGTATGTATGTTATTAATCTTGTGGTTTCAATATTAAAAATTTAAACTCTCTGGGAACCATCGATTACACTCATTTTCATATTTTTGTATTCAACATAAGCCGTTGAAAAGCAGTTTAGAATTTATTTTATCAATTCAAATATATAATAATAGGCCCTCAAACTTTTCTTGAAGTCAACCGGAATGGCCAGGGAAAGTAAAACAATGATAGTCAAAACAATTCCTTTGCATGATAAAATACACAATAGTGGTTAGTAGTGTAGAGTGTAGTATTGTATTTATTTTAAATAATATAACATCCCCTATCACAACAACATCCCGACTCTACTAATTAAAATTAAAAGGGTTAGCGAAATTACAAGTATATTACTAGTAATTATTTGTTTGAATATCTCTAGCCTTAGTAAAATAGGAAGTCTTTTAGTACTTATTACACAATTGTTATAAAATATTCAATTTTGGTTGAAAAATATGCTCTCTGGCAACAACCATTTGGAACCAACTTTTTAAGCCTATTACCTCTTAAGTCGTCACTAAATCGATGATGGTTTTTGTTCGTAGATCAGGGGACGAGTCAGGAAAACTAATGTTTGCTAAACCGAAAAGTCACGAGTTCGAACCCTAGGGCAGATGAGGCTCGTTAGCTGGGGACAGCTAAAAATCTAGGAGAGACAACTAAAAAAATCAAACAACTGATGTAGTTTGTTCTTGGTTGGACAAAGGCTATGGTAGCTATTCAAAAAAGAAATCGGAGTCAATGGCCTCAATGGTGCATAACCAGTTGACACGTATACTTAATAGTGTTGGAGGGGGATCCCTTCCAACACTAAAATTAAGGAAGAAGAAGAAGTTTCGTGGATCATATATTTTGTATGATAGCAGTGGCGTAGCGAGGTCGGGTGTAACCGGTGCGGCACTTAATGGTGTCACCCCCATAGGCGTAGCGACCCTTCCCGGGGACAAAATTTCAAATCTTAGATTTGCACCCCCCCTCAAGTTTTCGATTTGCACCCCCCCCCCCCCTCAAAATTTCGACTTGCACCCCCCCCCCCCCCCCCTCAAGTTTTTCTCTATACATTTTGCTATTTTTTTGCCTTGGTGCCACCCCCTAAATGGTGTCAACCCGGTGCGGTCCGCACCCCCGCCCCCCCCCCCTCGCTATGCCCCTGTATGATAGCACTACAGACGTCAGTACTTGTGTTTGTCTGTCACTAAATACATACGGTAAATTCCAGTTGTTATTTGATATGAAATTCATTTTTACAAGACTGATATCTGATCCTATGTTTTTATTCCCAAATGGTTTCAAGATGATAGTTTTGTTACCGGGGTATAGTGAATAGTGAAAGGGAATTTATGTTTATGTTTCTGTAAGACATTTTGTTTTGAATACAAATCAGCTTTTATTCGTTTAGATGTAAATCAGTAAATTAAAAGTCGTTGAACTAATTAATTTTTTTTTATTTCAGTTACTGAGTCGGAGATAAAACAATGGTGAGTAAAGCTATTTGTTTGTTTGTTTGTTTGTTTGTTTGTTTGTTTGATTGTTTGTTTGTGTGTTGGTCTTTTTGTTGTTGGTCTGTTCATTGGTCTGTTCGTTGGTTTGTTTGTTGGTTTGTGTGTTGTTTTGTGTGTTGGTTTGCTTGTTGTTTTTGTTTTTATTAGTCTGTTCATTGGTCTGTTTCTTGGTCAGTTCTTTAGTTTGTTTGCTGATTTGTTTTTTGGACTGTTCATTTTTCGTGTCTATTTGTTGATTTGTTTGTTGGTTTGTTGGTGTGTTTTTTCGTCTGTTTTCTGGTTTCTTTGTTTCTTTGTTGGTTTGTTCGTTTTGGTCTATTTGTTGGTTTATATGTTCGTTTTAGTTTGTTGGATTTGTGTTTTAGTAAGTCGGATTTTTTTGCTTTAGTTTATTGTATTCATTGATGGCTTTGTTGTTAATTTGTTCATTTGCTCAATGGCTTTGTTTGTAGGTTTGTTTGTTTTGTTTAGCTGACCGAAAGTCATAACATTCACACATATTTTTACTCAAGTATGTACGTTGATACGTAATAACGTCACTCGAATATCGCGAATACAAATTACGTCACATTTGTACCAAAACACCCGGTGACGTCACAACTATACTGCTAGAATGACGTCACTTTTCCCGCCGCGTAGAAGCGCATCTAACATCTCAGGCAGACGTCATCTTTGAGTTCACCTGTCGAGAACAGATTTACGAGTGTGGTAAGCTCTGCCTGCTACAAGGCTGAGACGAGACAACGACCCATCTCAAAGATCTAAAGATGCTTTAAGACATGTTAATGCTGCTGAAGAGGCTATCAAAGTTTCCAGTCAAGGGAAACTACTCCGTGTTCGCTACAGCAGGTAGACAACTGCGATGATCTAGTAATGACAGAGTTACCTGAAGTTAAAAGACGTGCAAAAAAAAAAAATGAATTACGATACTGATACTAAATTAAGAGACTTGTAACTAAATGATACGACGAGGTTGCTTTTTTTCTCGAGATTTTAGCTAATTGGTTTTGTTTAATTCTGAGTATTAATTATTCTTACATAGGATTCATGTTGGTGTGTGTGTGGGGAGGGGGGGGGGGGGGGGGGGAGGGGAGTGGTCTAGTACAGCTGGTAGGCAGCAGGCACATGTGTAGGCCAGTTGAAGCAAGCTCAGTGTAGAGTGATACGTTATGTTGTTTTAATTCTAGTTGCCTGGATACCTCTTGATCCAACTCTATCTTCTCTTTAATGTTAGCTCCGTAAGCCAAAATATTTCCAGGGCTCTTTGCCAATAATATATGTATATATATATATGTATGTATGTATATATATATATATATATATATATATATATATATATATATATATATATATATATATTATATATATATATATATATATATGTATGTATGTATATATATGTATGTATGTATATATATATATATATATATATATATATAATATATATATATATATATATATATTATATATATATATATATATATTATATATATATAATATATATATATATATATATATATATATATATATATATATAATATATATATATATATATATTATCGTGCGGCGTCAATTCGGCCAATGACGAAACGGCCCCGTCAAAACGACCCCGACCAAAACGGACCCCGTCAAAACGACCCCGTCAAATCGGCCCCGTCAAAAGGGCCAGCGACATATGGACCCCGTCATATAGGCTCCCGACAAATAGGCTCCCGTCATTTAGGCTACCGACAAATAGGCTCCCGTTATATAGGCTCCCGACAAAAGGGCTCCAGTCAATAAGGCTCCTGACAAATAGGCTCCCGTCATTTTGGCTCCCGACATATAGTCTCTCCCGTCATTTAGTTTTTTCCACAAAACGGCCCCCGTCATTACGACTCCCGACAAATAGGCTCCCGCCATTTAGTTTCTCCCACAAAACGGCCCCCGTCATTACGACTCCCCGACAAATAGGCTAGCGTCATTTTGGCTCCCGACAAAAAGGCTCCTGTCAATTTGGCTCCAGACAAAAGGACCACTGACACAGTGGCGTAGCTACCGTAAAGCTAGCGTAAGCAAGGCATGGGGGCCCAAGGCACATAGGGGCCCTTTTTCCCTCATAAAAAATTAAAACTTTTACAATGGAATTTTAATATTTGTTACATATAAATAATTTTAAAAAAGAAACGGTTAAAAGTTCCAAACCCCCCCCCCCCCCACCGTTTCGGCAGTGGGATTCAGTGTTTTGTGGGTCAAACAGAGCCCAATCGTTATAATAACACTACAGGCTATATCACTTTGTCGTGCAAGACATTGAGAGAATCAGCCTATAAATAAACTGTTTAGCAGTAGTAGGCAAGCATAATAATATAGTATAAATACAAAATCAGGACATATAAAATACAAAATGTTGCCTTCAGAATATTTATATATTAAAAAATATCCATCGTAAGTAGAAGTTGATCTCTTCGTTTAACTCCTCTGTAGCCTAACGCAGAGGCGTAGCGAAGGCGAGGCGGGGGGTGCGGACCGCAACGGGTGACACCATTTAGGGTGAAATTTATAGAATGAAATGCCATTTTCCCAGATCCATTAGTTAAAGTTAAATAGTCTTCTAAGTACAAATCGAAAAGTATATCAAGAGGGGGGGGGGGGGGGTGTGTGACACCACGACGTAAACGTAAACTATAAAGAAAACAATGCTACATCCAACTGTATTATAAACAGACTGTAGATAAACATCGTTACTATTAAGTCAGCAGTGATTAAAGCTTAAACACGTACGTGTACCAGTATGTGGCATATATATAAATTTTAGGCCTATGTAGGCCGACACACACACACACACACACACACACACACACACATATATATATATATATATGTATATATATATATATATACATATATACATATATATATATAAACCCGATTAGGCCAGAAATGAGAATCCTATGTTCGTATTTTGCGTTTGTTATATATATATATTATATATATATATATATATATATATATATATATATATATATATATATATATATATATATGCTTTGTTTCCTGGGAGGGGGTGACAATACGAAGTGCCGCACCGGGTGAGACCCGACCTAGCGACGCCACTGGCCTAACGGCTGACGAAGGGGCCCACTGATAATTTTTGCATAGGGGCCCAAAAATCCTAGCTACGCCACTGCACTGACAATACCGTTTCTGTACAGACTAAGTCTCCCGGCAAAGCGGTCTCATTGAATAT